TTGGAAGGAGATCAAAGTTTTGATTCTGTGTTGAAGCATCTTAAAAAAACAAACAACTTCTGATGTTTGCACTTCATTGACAATTCCGGAACATTTCTGAAAGTTTGCACCGAAATCGAATGATGCTATAAGATGAAAGGGAAACAGCCTTTGAACTTATTATTAGATTTTTTCTGAACGACAAAACCCCCCCACAATGTTTGGCTCCTTGAATTTCTCTAATGGCATATATCCGTGACCTCAAATAAAAGTGCAAAATGAAGATTCTTGGCTTAATACGTACGATGGATTTAGATTTACCGTTTATTCTTTATGTCACAATATCAGTTCAATGGAAAAAAAATACCTATGCAAGGCGAACTATGTTCTTTTATAAAGAATGGGAGAGTACAATATTTAAGAATTATTGTATAAATGCATTTGTAATACCGGAAAGTTTTCACCTGTACCTCTACAAAAAGAATAAACGCATCGGCACTTCAAAAGTACCGATAAGCCTAGTAATCTGGCCTCGTCGACTAGCATTTTGTTCAATGGTAAAGGAAGACTTTATTGACTCGCCGTTTCCAGTCCCCCAAGCTGCAAATCTACTTTTAGTTATAATAAATAATTATTGCATTTGTATAGCGCATATCCACTCTCTGCAGCATGCTCTCTGCGCTTCACAACTATTATTAATCCAACAGATCCTGGAACACTCAGAAACATTATAAATCTTCTCAAGCGGGAAGCATACAGTGCAAACTGCGGTTTTCGCGAGCTCAAACACAAACAAGCGGATCCAATTTATCCCCGTCTATAGCTGGGTACCCATTTCCAGCTGGACGAAACGAGGAAAATTCGAGTTAAGTGCTTTTCCCATGGAGACAATGTTGGGTCCTTGATGGGACTAGAGCTCGATTTGCAGAAATAAAACGCTGAGAAAGATTATAATTGTAAGAAAATAACAGGGTTTAAAAATGCATTTTCCTAGTTTGGAGATCGTTTCAATTAGAGTAACTTGACTATCCTGATAACTAATTTGGAGTCAAACACGAGTCTGGCTGGTAGGAAGACAACGAAACCATAAATCTACGTATTACTTTACATAAGTTGTACTTTTGGATAATGTTCGACAGGTCACATTATAAAGATAGAAAATCTAGATCTAGATCTATTTTCTATTGCTAAAGAAGTAAATAGAATTAACGCCAAGACTACTCATGTCACCTTCTCCCAACTTACACGAACGAGGTATGCGGGATGACGATAATCATTTGTAGATGTTTTAGTTTTGAGATGTTGTTATATTATGTTGTTCCAAAATGGCAGAATCTGGTGAGCCGAGCTTTTGTCTCGCAAGCGTGCGTCAATGTGCATAAGAAGTTGGCAAGAGTTGGCTCACAATGGTGTGCAAAATCGTTTTAAAAAGTAATGTTATCAAGAGCTTATTCGACAAAGAGTAATTTGCAAACGGTCATTCGAGGATTGTCAAAAGAAAAAGTTCTGTGGAGAGATGTATATGTGGAGATGTTCTTTTTAGCGATCATACAGGTACTAGTAGCCTGATATTTAAATTCCTGCATGTGGTTGAATGATGCATTTGATGTAAATGAACATTTTGTCAGCTTTACTTCTCCTTTCATATTGAATTTAAAAGAGAGTAAAATATATGATTTAATTTTTTTTTTTTAAATGTATACCTGCATGTGTTTTTATGGTCCTGTACAGCCAAGGAAAATTTCCCTCTGGGATAATAAAGTACTATCTTATCTTATCTTATATTCTATAAAGAAAGAAGGTTAACAGGAATACACAGAGAACTGGCGTACGCCCACAATCTCACCTCATGAGTAATAGAATCCAAAAAGGAGACAAGGTGACTAGACCCCTCTGATCTCCCACAACCAGTAACAGCATCACTTCTTTGTGGACCAAGAACTTCGTTTTTGCCCATATTTTTCTTGCGCACGTCGCAGCCACCTGGTTTTTGTGAATGTTCGACTTTAAAATTATGTTTCCAAAGACGTGTATTATTATGTTCCTGTTCGGTAGAAAGTATTTTGAATTCTGGGGGTGACATCGCGCTGTCATGCCTTTCAAGAACTGACTCTGAGGTTTTTGTTCCATTCTTTTCTATGTGGGTCAAGTCTTGTTCAGTCTCTTTATTCAAGGCTGTGGGACCAAAAGATGTAACAAAATGTCTCAATTCCGTTGTAGGCATATCACGATTTTTTCGTAGAGGATCTACAGCGTTGCCAACATTGCAGAACGTCTTATGGGTGCCATGTCTTGTTGGGGATGTCTGTCCTCGAAGAAAAGGGCTGGTTTCTCTGTTTCCGTTACAGCTTATTAGTCGACCATATAACTTGGAGTTCAGTCGTAATTGGCAGCCACGTGAGAGTTCTCCAGAAGTATCAGGGCAAACACCTTTGGCCTTGCACATTGCAGGACCACCATCATAACGGCTGCGGTGATATGTGTCGTTAAATGTCTCCTGGTTCTGATTTATATTATGTAGTTCCAAACCTCTTATTTGTTCCTCGATACGTGGATGCGCATCAGTCACAGGCGCCTCCATTTGTTCGATGTTTCGATGGAACTTAGTGGGACCGCAGATCCTCTGGTTAGAAAACATTAAGAGGGGGGTGTAGAAAAAGAGTTAAACATTTCAGACATGGAAAGATGGCAAGATAAATAATTAATTTACTAGAAAGGAGGAATTCACAGAGATCTATCTGTTCTATCTATCTATCTATCTATCTATCTATCTATCTATCTATCTATCTATCTATCTCGATTGGTCGATCAAACGATCGATCTATGGATGGGGGGCTCTCGAGGTTAAGGTGTTGGCCTCTCATTCAAAAGGTCCCGGGTTCGAATTCGGGTAGCGACCGAAACATTTTCTTCTCTAAATTTGTCTCCTGTCACCTCGTTTCCTGCTCTTTAGCAATGTTCTGACGTCTGCTTTCGTCTCCTCTTTCTTCCCCCACCCCTCACCTCCTTTGCCCCTTCCTCTGGGCTCCTGATTCTTTCTGCAGCCTTTCTACTGTTGCTCCTTCGCCTCTTCTTACTGCTGTCTTTCAGCCACACCCCTGATCTTCTGGTAGGAAAGATCTACACCTAGCCTTCTCAGACAAGGGCGAAAAATCTCGGAGGGTCCGTGTGCAAGTTGCGCACGTTAAAGATCCCTTGGTGGTCTAAAATCGATAAGAGTAGGCTTCGGCTGCCACCCGGGCAAAATTCAAAAATGTCCTACCAACTGAAAATATTAGGTGTGTCCCGCGCGCTAATATGACCTTATGCAGTTGCAAGCGCCGTAAAACACTTTGCAAAAACAAACAAACAACAATCTATGGATCTATCGATCTATCTCTGTGTGTCTGTGGTCTGTGTTTCTGTGTGTCTGTCTGTGTGTCTGTCTGTGTGTCTGTCTGTCTGTCTCTCTGTCTCTCTTTCAGTCTATTTGATCTTTGGTTTGTGTAAAATATAAGAGTGCTTGTGATCTAAAAAAACCCAAGCTCGAAAAGCTGACATTTTCTTACACTTTGTTCGTTTACCTGTTTATCAAACATGAGGATTTTACATAATATTGAGGATACAACCTGTTTAAGTGCATTTATTCAACATCCCACTTTTCAAAACAACAATATATTTTAGAAGCATGACAGTTTTACTCTGATTAAAAAGCCACAAGTCAAAATCTTTTGTGATCATCATCATCATCATCATCATCAAGAGCCTCATTCTCGCTCGAAGATTTCTTCGTGGAGTCCACCAGGCCCATAAAGGAAACCAAAAAAGAATCATCCCCATCATTGTATACAGAGAATAAAAAGGTTGAGACTTGGTAGAATTTCCAGAATATTTTATTATACCTTCAACGTTTCGAACACTACAGGCTTCGTCAGGAACATAAAAAAAAAAAAGACTAGACCATCTATGGAAACCGGAGTGCGTGTACCCATGTAACAAAGCACAATGGTGCATTATCCTCCTCCTCCTCCTCCTCCTCCTCCTCCTCCTCCTCCTCCTCCTCCTCCTCCTCCTCCTCCTCCTCCTCCTTCTCCTCCTCCTCCTCCTCCTCATCATCATCATCGTCATCATCATCATCATCATCATCATCATCATCATCATCATCATCATCATCATCATCAGCAGCAGCAGCAGCAGCAGCAGCAGCAGCAGCAGCAGCAGCAGCAGCAGCATCGTCGTTGTCATGACCACTATTGATGTTTCATGGGTTGAACAAAATTGAGAGTAAGTCTTTGATAACCCAAAGCAACAGTGAATAGTTCTTCTGCTCATCCAAACCTTACCGAGGAATCGCTGAGAACGACGAAAGCATTTTTGGTGTTCCACCCGACTGTTGTCATATTAGTGTTCTTGTCCTTTGCGGTTGGGACCGTCGTTTCTGGAATCTGCAAGGGATTTTTCAAGGCATTAAAAGGCTGATGAAAACTCACAAGACGGCTCACAGACGGCTGACAAAATTAAACGAAAAAGAATAACTCCGATAACCCCTCTTTCTATTCAATCTTTCTTACGGATCGTTGCAAAAATGCTTATAAATAAAATAAAACCCGTTATAAACTCAAAATACATAACAAGTTTACCAATCTTTGCCTTACCAAAAGTGAGCTTTTCTGTTTTTTGTCGTGATCCACATCGTGTTTACCAGTCGCAGGTTTCCCAATGGCACTTGCTTCATCAGTTTCCCCCTGAAAAAATTAATGAGACCCATTTAAAAAATAAATATTTTTAAATCAATTTAATTCTAGAACAGTTTCTCGATATTTGTACAATATATCAATTGAGCGAGGTGATATGTTCCATTCTAAACAATCAATTAATTTGTTTCAAAACTATCTCTTCGTACTTAGAAAGGTGTTGCAAAGGTTATAATAAAACTTCTGTTTCTTAAGCGTCCGAGTTAAAGTGTCTGTTGATATAAATCTAAGATGCCTCGGTCATGAACCACTCACAGTTTATGATTCTACTTTAGCACCCAACTTTCATGAAGATGGCTGATTGCGTCACGGTTTTGCCAGCCTAAAAAAATGCCAATTCATGCAATTTGACAAATGAGGTTTAAGAGAAAGATCAGTCAACAGCAGTCAGACTTTTTCCAGGCTAAGATTTGTCTGCGCCCAGTGAGAGAGAAAGCCAGTTCATCATCAACCAGTCTACCCAAAACCCAACGATGCTCGCAAGACAATCCTCATAGAAGCCCTATAGTCAAACTAGACATGTGTTAACCATTACTCTTTTACCTCTATCCGTACACTATGTTAAATTTCGACTACAATGAAAATCATTATTTATACTTGAGGGTACACGTATAATATTTCAGGATTTTAGAAATGAAAACGATACTCCCACATAGTGGTCGCTAAGGACAAGAATGTTTCAGGGAAGAACGTACTCATATTGCACAATTACACACTACTGTAATCACTGAAACAACAGCAACTGCATGGACACTGCATGACGTTTGCCAACTAGTACTCAATGATGATTCGCCCGCTAAATCGCAGTGTTGACATGTCTGTGTCTTTTCATCAACTATGATGCGAGCATTTATTTCTCTTTTTTCTTCAAATTTCGAGTTCATAAAGGCCCGACATAAATTTAAACATGGGAGGGGGGGGGGGTGTTGGGGTCGCTTAGGACGGAAATACTTACAAAGTCCACCAATATATGTTTCCCTCCCAGAAATGGAGTTTTCGTGGGCAGGGGTTCTTGCTCTTCAACAAGACCTTCGCTTGTAAACTCATCGCCAGTGGCTGGATGTTTTGGGACAGTCCTGAAGTCTGCCTCTACAGGAGTTTGAATACTCTTAGGGTGTCTTTTGAAGAAACTGGAAGCTTCATGCCTCTTTCTGGGTGTTGTGGGTTGTGTGACGTTGTTGATCGGCGGCTGTGGATTTGTTTTAAAAGTTCAGAGGTGAAGAGCAATCCACAGAGACGCCAAAATACTATTGATATTGATACTTACAATGTTGTATTTTGTTTTTGTAAAGTGCTTTACGGCGCTCGCAACTGCATAAGGTCATATAAGCGCGCGGGACACACCTAATATTTTCAGTTGGTAGGAAATTTTGAATTTTGCCGGGTGGCGGCCGAAGCCTACTCTTATCGAATTTAGACCACCAAGGGTTCTTTAACGTGCGCAACTTGCACACGGACCCTCCGAAAATTTTCGCCCTTGTCCGAGAAGGCTAGGTGTAGATCTTTCCTACCAGAAGATCAAGGGTGTGGCTGAAAGACAGCAGTAAGAAGAAGCGAAGGAGTAGCAGTAGAAAGGCTGCAGAAAGAATCAGGAGCCCAGAGGAAGGGACAAAGGAGGTGAGGGGTGGGGGCAGAAAGAGAAGACGAAAGCAGACGACAGAACATTGCTAGAGAGCAGGAAATGAGGTGAAAGGAGACGCATAGGCCAGAACATTACATTATGTCCTGATTAAAAATCTGTCTCCCTCTCTCTGTCTCTCTCTTTCTCTCTCTGTCTCTCTCTTTCTCTCTCTCTCTCCCTCTCCCACTCTCTCCTCCCCCCCCCTCTCTCTCTCTCTCTCTCTCTCTCTCTCTCTCTCTCTCCATATATATGACGGGATTCGAATCCACGACCTCACGAGAGCCTAACCACTAGGTCACCGACGATAACAAAGAGTGACAATAGTCAAATCTTGATAAAACTAAGTATAGTGTGCTAATAAAGCAGATGTTTTTTCTTAATTTTTCGTAGATTTCTAAAAACATGCAGTTCTAAAAGGTGGACATCAGTTTTTAAAAGTGGCTTTAAGAACAAGTGGAGACTAAAGTACTCGTATGTTAAGAAAAGAAATTGCACTTACAATGTGCATATCTAGAACCATCATTTTTAAAAATACCAATAAGACAAGCACGACATGGAAACGTAAGAGGTAATTATTATAATGCTGAGGAAAAGCGCAACAGAACCATAGAAAAATTATAATATACCCTCGGAAAATGGTAACTGTCCATAGATTTCAGGCCTAATTTTGAAAAGGTTATAATCGCGCTACATTAATAATAATCCTGTTAAATTATTTTACCTTATTCAAAGACAAAAAATAGGTTTTTTTTCCAACAAAACGTCAATTTATAGACAAACAACTGACGACAAGAAAACCTCCTCCCACTAAACGCAAAGCACGATTTGAGGAAAATTGCATATGTATTGCTTTAGAGCGTGATTCCAATAACGAGTATGCCAGCCTTGTGCAGCTATAACAGCCTTACATCTTCGTCTCATTGAGCTAATTATTCGTTGATTCTTGATTTGAGGCATGTTGGTCCACTCCTACTGCAAACCGTGCGCCATTTCATGAATATTTCTTAGTTACTTTGTACTGGCCTTTTACCGAGTCTTCAATCCAGTTCATCCCTCACATGCTCAATTGGAGCAAGATTGTGTTTTTTTTGTGGGTTTTTTATGGGGGGGGGGGGGGCTTTTTGTCGTGAGTTGTTTGTGTATACAATGACCTTTTGGTCAGAATATGACCTTCCATATAGTTTTTCCTTTAAATAAGTTAAAATAATTTACCAGAATTATTAATGAAGCCTATAATAACCTTTTCAAAATTAGGTAGGAAATCTATTGAAAGTTAATTTTTTTCTGAGGGTAAATATATATATATAATGTTCTCTGGGAAGTACTAAGATTAATAATTAGTATTGGGTCCTCATACCCAACCCAGCGCGTCCCCGGGAGGTGGATAGGGGAAAGGCCTCAAGATATGGAGGTAGCTGCTAAGCAGTCGCGAACCAAATGGGAGGTGGTCGTCGAGAGTAGAGGAGAGCCCTGGTGCCACAGGTGCTTCAAAAATACCTCACACACTCGAAGAAGGGACCATCTTGACGACGGGAGGTGCCATAAATCCTACCAAAGCCCCCACTGCCTTGTGGGTTGCAAGTGGAGGACAAAGGCTAGCAGAGACAACTGTACACACTCCGGCAGTAGGCAACGGGAAACCACTGCTGTACTATCCCAAGAATAGTCATGGAAAAGTACATTCATTTATCAGATAACAGCGTTAAAAGGGTTCATGATCCAGCTCTGAACTTCCCGCTCGGAAGGGACCGCCACGGACAGCAGGTGGCGCCCGATCGTCATCCAGCTACTGGCTGCAAAAATAAGCAACTTGACCTAGCCACATGGAATGTGAGAACTATGTACCAGAAATGCAAATTAGATAATATAGAGCAGGAAATGGACTGGATGAAGCTAAATATGTTAGGCCTTTCAGAAATTAGATGGGAGGGGGCAGGCTTGATTAAAAAAGGATCCAAAACAATTGTATACTCAGGAGGAAAAACCCATGAAAGAGGAGTCGGAATTTTATTTGACAAAGCAACAGCAAAGAGCATCAAAGGTTTTTCGAGAGTGTCAGATAGAGTAATCGTGGCTAAATTAGAGGGAAAACCTTTTGACATAGGTGTCATCCAAATATATGCACCAACATCAGAGAACGACAACGAGGAAATTGAGACTTTTTATGAAGACCTTGATAAGGCAATGAAACAGTTAAAAATCACAAGATGTAAAGGTAATCATGGGAGACGTTAATGCCAAAGTAGGAAGTACACGTATAGGAGATATAGTTGGGCCATGGGGACTGGGTAAAGAGAATGAACGATGGAAACCACTGGTAGAATGATGCAGAGAAAATAATTTTATGATATCAAACACCTTGTATGAAAATCACCCAAGAAGACGATACACTTGGAAGAGTCCAGGCGATAGAAGTAGCAATCAAATAGATTTCATACTTAGTTAGAAACGTTTTAGAAATGCAGTTAAATCATCTAAATCACTGCAAGGAGCAGACTGTGATAGTGACCATGTACCAGTCATGAGAAAAATGCGGATAAGACTGAAGAAACTTAAAAAGTCAAAGTATCAACCAAAATTTGACATAGGCCTTTTAAAGTCCAACCAAGAACTGAAAGAACGTTTCTCCGTAGATGTAAGCAATAAATTTCAAGGTTTGAAAAACATTACTAAATCGTAAGAACTATAGAGCAAAATGAAAGACTCAATAATGGAAGCTATGGAAGAAAATATCCCCCCGAAAGTTAAAAAAAAGCTAATTAAAAATGGATGACCCAGGACATATTAAAACCAATGGAAGAGAGTAGAAAGGCAAAATCTAAAGTGGAAAAGTACAACATCTTAAACAGGGAAATAAAGAAAAAATGCAATAAAGAAAAAGAAACATGGATAAATGATCAGTTTCAACAAATAGAGAAGAACCAAAACAAAGACAGCAAATACATGTATTCCAAAATCAAAGAAGTAAGTGGGATAAAAGGATGCTCAAATACAGGATGCATAAGATCAAAAGTAGGAGATATTTTAATGGACAACGGGGATGTCTTAAACAGATGGTCAGAATACATAGAGGAACTTTTCAAAGGTAACAGAGGAGAAAAACCGGAAACAAAGAATGAAATAAATGGACCACCAAAACTGAAAGCAAAAGTAAAAGCTGCCAATAGGGAAATGAAACAAGGAAAAGCCACAGGGCCAGATAATATTCCAGTTGAAGTGATTGTCGAGCTTGAAGAACTAGGCAGTGAAATAACAACAAAGCTCCTGAATGCTATTTATGACAGCAGTGAGATCCCAGAAGATATGATGAAGTCAGTTTTTATAGCCTCACCTAAAACACCAGGTGCCACTGAGGGTGATATGCACAGAACAATTAGCCTTATAAGTCATTTTACAAAAATATTGCTGCGAGTAATAATGGGAAGATTGAGAAAAAGAGTGTAAGACCAGAGATATCTAAAACGCAATTCGGCTTTATTCCTGACCGGGCACCAGAAATGCTATATTCACCTTCACGATGTTAATGGAAAGATGTATTGAAGCACAGAAAGATCTGTATTAGTATTTATGCTTCATAGATTATTCAAAGGCGTTCGATAAATTTAGAAATGATGAGCTATTTAAAATACTGGAAAAGCTAGACATAGATGGAAAAAATATAAGAATTATCAGGAATTTGTACTGGGACCAAAACGCTGCTGTGCGAATTAACTGAGAATACAGTGAATATAAGCAGATTAGGCGAGGAGTGAGGCAAGGATGTGTTATATCACCAGACCTCTTTAGCATGTACAGTGAAACAATCCTTAGAAACACAGAAGAATGTCCAGGTCTCAAAGTAAATGGAGAAAATGGGGACTGCTAAGAGAATCGAGGAAGGAAAATAAATCAAATGAGGTAGTGCTTGATGAAGCCCACGAGGGACGCTCAATGTTAAAAACAACCAGGAAACGACAAAAGCAGTTTTTGGGACACATTAATAGACATACGGCTCTTGAACTTGAACATCTAGCTCTCATTGGAAAAATTGAGAGAAAGCAAGGCAGGGAAAGGCCCAGAACAACATACTTAGGGAACCTAAACAAATGGGTAACAGGGAAAGATCAGGGAAACGTAGCTTTTTTGAGAGCATCTGAGCAAAGGAATGAATGGAGAACCATAATCGCCGATGTCTGTCGCAGCTCTGGCACTGGATGATGATGATATAATGTTCTAGACTGCACACACTGACGTAATTTCGGTTCACCATGGAGCGCACCACTTGACTGAATGTATTTGGAACCAAATGAAAGACAAGGAGGGAAAGGTTGCGTTCCCACTCGTCTATAGACGAAACGGTTGTTTTGCCCTTGATAAGGGCGACCATAATGCACGCCAGAGTAGCGAAGTTTGAATAGAGAGTAAAGAGCGGTGGCCACGACAATGCTTGGTCTGGCACAATTCTTCTATTTCAGGTTTATGGATAGGACAAATTATAATAAACTTTATAATAGGCGGGATGATGTAGACTCATCACCTGTTGCTGTAAGTGCTGATACCGTTAGCGACCTGGAACAATGTGAAATAGATAGGCTCTACAAGCGATTGCGGAGCAGTTTCTTACGCATTTCATTAACAAACGAAAATCTGATGTTTTGAAATTAATGTGTTCAAATTTGTATCCCATTTCCTGCTGTTTTTCCCCTTTTCATTTTTCTTGCGAGCTTGGGCATATTTAAATTTGCATATTTTGAAGGGGTGGGTGGGTAAGGGAGGGGGAGCTGATGATGAAGATGATGATGATGATAATGTGTGTGCTTGTGTTGAGGTAATGGTTGGGGAGGAAGTGTACAGGGTGAGGAATGATGGGATTTAACTTTTTGAAAAATCCGAAAACAACAAAAACTCATAAAAAGCAAAAACAAAAAGAAGAACATTCCTCCTGTCATCACCCATTCAGGTTCCTTTTTAGTCTCCACGCCAGGGTAATCCGGATAGATGGTTCGGCGTTCATCCTGTAGTCTCTCGTGTTCCAGCAGTAGCTCACGACGTCTTCTGGACTGCTCGGGGTCACGTCTGAGAGAGAGAGA